TTCATCCTCGAGCCAGAGACCGAACGAGTTAGATGTGAGGAGTGTGGGAAGCTAGTTAAGAAATTAGGTGAGGAAAGTGGGGTGTGTGGGAAATGTGAGGAGAAATTTGTTTAATGAAGTTTTTTTTTGTGACGAAATGGGTATCGACGAAACGAATTAGACCCAATAAATTAATAATAATTATTATTATTTTTCAATCACATCCAAATACAATATAGTTGGCTCGGTCTAAAGACCTCCTAATGCTGCGCCATGCGGCCAAATTTCAAAAATAGCAATTTTGTAATTCGTTCAAAAAAAAAATGTAATAAATTTTTTTTCAAAAAATAGGACTTCACGTGATTTTAGCTTTCTTACTGCCAATTTAGATATGGTTGGCTCGGTCTAAAGACCTCCTATTGCTGCGCCACGCGCTCAAATTTCAAAAATTGCAATTTCGTGATTTGTTCAAAAATGCAATAAATTTTTTTTAAAAAGGGTTACACGTGATTTTGGTTAAAAAACTATTTTTCTTACTGCCAAATTTAGATATGATGGTCGAGTATTAGGCTAAATTTAGGAATGATGATCAAAACTAGTCTAAATTTAGCAATGATCATAGCGCTCAAATTTCTCATGAGTATAGTAAAGTACATGTTTTAAAAAAGAATAGAACTCTACAATAAATAATTTTCTGGAGAAAATCTCTTCATTACATTAAAAGTAGAAACCTATTTTACCAACTAATGAGGCTATTTTTTTAAAAGGTAGGACAAAAAATGACTTCTATACTTTTAAAATTTGCCCAAAATTTAGGAGGTCTTTAGACCGAGCCAACTATACGATAGTCAAGAGCTAGTCTAAATTTGGTAATATTTTTTTTAAATTTAAAAATGATCATAGTGGGAAATTCCTCGTGAGCATAGTAAAGTACATGTTTTAAAAAAGAATAGAACTCTACAACAAATAATTTTTTTGAGAAAATCTCTCTATTACAGTAAAACTAAAGACATATTCTATCAACTAATAGAGCTATTTTTTTAAAAGTTAGGACAGAAAGTGTCTTCTATACTTTTAAAATTTGCCTAAAATTTAGAGGTCTTTAGACCAAGCCAACTATATAATCTCTTAAATAGGAATAAACACACTGGTCTTGGGGAAATTCTTGCTCCTAGTAAAAAAAAAAAAATGAATGAAGGTATTTTTTCTTACACAGAAAATAACTATTTTAAAAATATGTAGTATTTTTTACATCATGATTTAATATTTTGCTTTATAATAAAATAATAGCTAAATTCTATGAAGGTAAATAAATATTTTACAACACAAAATAAACATCATCTAATTAAATAATTTGTTATTTTATTTCTTTATAATAACCAGGGGGTAAGTATAAGTATTATATTATAATTTAACTTTTACAACACAAAATAAACATCATCTAATTAATTAAATTTGTTTTTTTATTTCATAGAGTGTAAGTATTAAAATTATAATTTAACTTTTATAACACAAAATAAACATCATCTAATTAAATAATTTGTTTTTTTATTTCTTTATAATAACCAGTGTGTAAGTATTTTATTATAATTTAACTTTACAACACAAAATAAACATCATCTAATTAAATAATTTTTTTTTATTTCTTTATAATAACCAGTTAGTAAGTATGATATTATAATTTAACTTTTATAACTAAATAAACTTATTTTTTATTTCTTTATAATAACCAGCTGGTAAGTATTATATTGTATTATAAACCAACTTTTATAATTTTATATTTAATTAATAAGTTTATTTTTATTTATTTATAATAACCAGCTGGTAAGTAATATATTATAAATTAACACAAAAATAAATTTTATTAAAACATCATCTAATAAATTTTTTTTATAATAACCAGGGAGTAAGTATCATATATTATAAAATTAACTTTTACAACACAAAATAAAATTTTATAACATCATCTGATTAAATATTCTTTATTTCTTCACAATAACCAGCTGGTAAATATTATATTATATTATAAATAACTTTTACAACACATTGTCTAATTAAATAAATTTATTTTTTGCATTTATAATAACAATGGGAAATAGTCACGAAAAGTATTCAAACGCGTAACGAAATTTTATTGTATATAGAAATTTTATTGTGATATGGTGCAAGTCACCTAGTCCCGCAACTTGCTGCGCCTCGTGGCCAATTTTGGGAAAAATATCAAAACTCAGAATTGTAAGTTATGCTAAAAAATGCAATAAATTTTTATATCACGTGACCTTTAATGGTGATTGAAGGTAAAATAATTTATAAATTTATCTTTTTTATAACTTTTAAATGAATGTCTATATTTATTATATTGAAAAATAATTCTATTTTGTTTTTAATTTTTTATAATGAATAAGATAACACTATGGGGTTTAAAGAAAGAAAAGAAGAATATGGAACCTGTTCTGTTTGTGCAAGATATAATACTAATTACCAGTGGTGTCAATCATGTGATCCCAAATTGTTAGCTCAAAGTTGGACTAGCAGTGGTAATGACAAATTAGATGAAATAATCAGAAATACACAGCTTGAAGCAAAAGGATTTGATAGCTATCATTACCTTGAATGGATTCCTTATGACCAACTTGTAGTTAAAGAAGGAATAGGTGAAGGTAGTTTTGCAACTGTGTACTTGTGTTATTGGTCAAATGGTCCTAGATATGTTTATGATAATAAAAGATATTATTGTAATAATGGTGATGTAGCATTAAAAAAGGTTAAAAATTCCCAAAATATTTCTGATGAGTTTTAAAGGAGGTAAATAACTTGATATAATTAATTGACAATTAATTAATAATATATTAATTTTTTATTGATTTTCATAAAGCTTCAAAACCACATTAAATTTATAGGACCTTATCACAAGGGTATTGTTAATATTTATGGCATTTCACAAAATCCAAATACAAAAGAATATGTTTTTGTAATGAGATATGCAGTTGAAGGAGATTTTAAAAAATATTTAAAATCAAATTATAAAGGATGGAATGATAAAATTGAAAAACTCCATAATATTATCTCAGGTTTAAACACACTTCATCAATAAAAACTTATACATAGTGATTTTAACAGTGGTAATATTTTACATTTTGATTATTTATCTGAGACAATGATTACAGATTTAGGGTTATCAGGCCCAGCTGATCAAGAAACATCAAGTAAAAATGATATA